TTCTCATTTATATACACGTGTAGTTCTTTTAAGTCTGATATCCTTTAAGGGATAAGTTTTAACAAAGAAGAAATTTCAGTGCAATGGGAAATGTGTTAGAAAACATTGATAAGATTTAATGTGTATATAACCCCTATATGTGGTACAGCATTATTTTCCTCATTTCTGAGGCATTCAGAAACACTACCACTTACAGTGCTGGGATTTGGTATGATTTCTCCACCAAAGATAATGAATTTCAATCTGCTTCCTGTTGTTTAGTGTATCAGTTACAGTTATTTCTTCAGCTAACCCCTTTGTGTTACTTCAGACTAAAGAATAACTTTTCCACTCACGTGCTCTAAAAAACAATTTTCAGTTTATCAAAAATATGCTTACATAAACCATGTAGTGCTCTAAAAATTATCCAATACATGAACAATATTTGAAATTACTGTTTTATTAGACTTAATAATCTCTGATCTCTTTCAGTAGTATGTACTCCATATTCTTCTGACGGCAATTAGTGAACTTTCAAGTACATTTCTATTGTGACTTTGTATTACCTGTACAATTTCTCCCATTGAATTCCTTAAGTATACCGCTGTTCTCTAAGCAAAGATTTCAAAACTATTTAAAAAAGCAGAAAAAAAAGTATGTTTCAGCTTCCCTATGGATGTTTACCCAATTTACATAGAGTAAATTTTGCTTATTCCAAGTTATGAACGCTATCGTTCTGTACCAGTTAATGCAAACATTTCACCTCTGGGTTGAGGCAAATACAGAAGTCTGATTATTCTCAACAATTTAAACATATTTGTTAAAATAATGTCCCAAAGGAGATCAGTTACATGCATAAAACAAGTGTATGTATCGTTCTACTGAAGTTAATATAATTTTTCCATTTGGCTTCAGTTTAGGTTCATCTGTTACCAGAGTTCTTCTAGTTGAGTTCTGGTTCAGGCTCAGCAAAACAACAGCTGAAGTTCCAAGTCAAGTTTGGGATTGGTTAACTCCACAAGTAGAATTACATCCAAGATGAATTCAAGCAAAATATGTCTATTCTTTGTGATAGTCTAGTCTAGTTCTTTGTGATAAATTCAGGAATAAACAATATATTTATTTAATCTTATTCTTGCAGCTGAATGCAGCACTGCATGAACCAACAACAGTAACAATTATATACATTAAGTAATAAAGACCTGTCATATCAAAGTAGCTACTATGTTTCTAAATGAATTCAGATCTCCTAAATAAAACTGTTAAAAAACCAAACAAGCCTAGAAAAAAAGGGGGAATAAAAGAACAACTTTAAGAGAGAGAAATATTCAGCATGATTTTGTCATTAAAACACATACACGGAGAGAGCACCTGAGGACTGCAGGGTAACCTAATGTTGCAATTACCTAACCAGTGATTCTTTAACTCTGGAATCTAACTAGTACTTCCAGATTCCTAAAAGCTGAAGAACGCAACAAAAATACCTCCCAAATTCTGCTACGTAGCACAGTAGCACTCCACACACACATCATCTGTTGGGAATATCTTAACCCCCATCACAGACCACTGCTCCTTAAATTGCCTCAGAGCAATGGAAGTCTGAGGGAGGGAGTAAGGAGGGAGTAAGCCCCACGTTTTGCCCCAGGTGCCACAGGTAGTGGCTGTCAGCCCAGGTGTGGTGACAGGTGAGCTGCCTTCCCACCTCCAGTCTGTGGGCACCAGTATTCCCCTGAGAAGGCCCTTACCCCCTTTTCCCTTTTCATTGCTTCTGCACTTCCAGCCGGGAGTGTGGCTAGGGCAAACAAAACACAGTCGCGATTTTCTGAAGGACCTCCCGTTGGCCAAACAAAGCCTAAAATTTTCATTCTCACCATTTATCCAAATTTGGAGTGGATTTTTCAAGTGGACAGAAGTAGCACGCTCCTGACAATGAGAGGACTCACTGCCAAAATGCAAGCCTTTGCTCTGAAGCTTGAACTGTTTAACTGATTTTGCTGAAGTCTTCCAAAAGAATTCAGTATGAGGTAGGTGCTCAGTAAAGAAAATCTGTAACTTGGATCAATCAAAGAAATCAGTTCCTATGAATGGTTCTAGTTAGGCCTGTAACTAGTAATATGACAGAAACAAGTAATACAAGAGATGATCACTTGGTAACTTATGATCTTCCCCTCAAAGAGTTGGATTTGACTCTGACAAACCTTTTTTATATATATATCTTGGGATAAAAGTGGTTAAAAAGGGGAACGGACGATCACAAGGAAGTAATTAAAAATTGGTGTCAGGTTTTGGCAAGCTGAACTGAATTGTTGGTGTATGGCTAGGGCATCTCTAATCATTATAAATAGTATCAGCTCGGTCCAGACATTTAGAAACACTGATGGCCACATCTGCAAATCTGTTTATTTTAGCCAACAGCCTCACTAGTCTACCAGAACATACCTTGCATCAGAGGTGATGGTCATGAAGGAGACATCCAATGCTGGCAAAAAGAATTGCACTAAGAGTGTTGAACTGTCAATACAGAGTCCGTATTTGGACACCGCACTCACTCATTGGGAGCCACGGTGCTCCAGAGCGGTTTGTTTGTGATCTGTGTTGCTAGGCAGATGGGCAGCTACAGCTTGTACCAACAGGAGCTTTTTCTGGACATGAGACTTCAGTTCCTAGAAATGAGTAACTGAAGTACCTTTTAAAAAGTTTCCTGAGAATAAGAAACACTTGATTTGTGAAAGTGATGGCAGAAAAATCTACATACTCAGAAGACAACTATACTGTCTAGGCTAATATTTTTTCTTTCAAGTTCTCCTTTGTTGGGGTAAAAAATAAAAAAAAAAAAATCCCTCTTTACCTGCCTCACAGGAACTAATGACAGTAACTAGCTGTATGAGACATGGTACTAATATTCAGTAATCAAAGTTAAATGCTCCTTTCTCTTTACACTGACCACTTTCATTCTCTCTTCTCTGAAACAAACTCTGCAGAATGTGGAATGACTTAGATCTCTCACTTTTCCCAAAACAAAAGACGGTCCTAATTAGAAGAGCGTGCACTGTTTTTTTTGCCAAGCTTTCTGTAACCACTCAAGCAAGACAGGGGCACAGTGATGAGGTGGTCTTCAGTACTGAAGCGTGTGTAGGGGTGAGGAGGAACAGGACAGAACCATGTTCTCGGCTTCATATAGCCGACAGGACCGAATGCAAACTTGGAGCGCTGCAGACTGCTTCATGTAAGCTGTGAGCACTTCCCTCCTGTCACTTCTAGAGCCCCTTCATGCTCAGGAATGGTCTCTCTGCATGCTGTTGCTTGGGCATGGTACTCCCACCACTGATAGGGGCTGTATTTTTTTTTTTTTAAACTAAGTGAAGCTGAATAAAATGTATCTTTAGATTGCTACTTCTAAATACCAATCCTTAAAAAATGCAGTTATTTATACTAGGCAATAAAACTAAAATGCAGAGAACTTTAGAGTCCTCGAAAGGTTTATTAATTCTCTGATTTCTTTTAGATGCATTTGCATTACCTGCTTTCACAGAGAACAGTAATAAAATGCTAGAAGACTAGCCTTCAAGCTCCGGTCAAGAGAACCAGCTCTAGCAATCAGGCTTCGAAGATCTATAATGCCACCAATGAACAGTTCCCTGAGTGTCTGTCTTGGGCCATCCTAAGACCTCATGGAAGACAGCACTCCACAGCCAAATTTGCCTTCACCCTTCAGCTGGGCACTTTATGCACATTTGTGACAGCAGAGCCAGCTTACAGCAGCTACGCAGTCCACTTCCAGATTTTTTTTCTTAAGGCTTTCAGTTTTTTTGATTGCTAGTAGTCAAAACCCAGAAATCTATCACAATCCCCTGCTCCCCCAGCAAGCTAGAGTTTTAAGAGTGAATTAAACAACTCCCACCTTTTAAAATGAGGCAAGAACGGTGCTGCTAGGCTCCGAAGCTGGCTTGTGCTTGTAACATCTCAATGAAATGGCTGCCCTCACATTTTAACGCAGAAAGAATAATGACTTCAGAAAAGCATTAAAATTCATAACTAGAGTCATGGTTTATAGATTTCCTCTGGGACTTGAGATACTGCTGACTGACAATTTCTGGTCCCACTGAAATCACAGGAATTATATATCCATGATCCACCTCTGTAAGAGACTGAAGCGTTTCTCTCAGCGCTAAAACATGACCATACACATTAGCTGTTCACCTGCAACGTTTTCCAGACCAGCTATTGCTTCACTTCAGGTTTTTAAGGCAGATTTTGGCACTGTGTACTTTACAAAGCATTACCTTCTTAAACTGATGAAACAAGTTGCAGACAACTGAGAGAACAGAGGCTGGAATGTATTTTGAAATTCAATATGCTGAATCATCTGTGTAATTATAACAGAGACAAATTCAGTCCTCACATACGTAGGTCCTTACGACCGCCAGGCGTACGCAAGACTAATCCCCTTCGGTCTAGCCAGAGGCATAAATTTAAAGACCGCGAAGCCTTTCCTTATCGCCCATTGTTAATGCGCGAGTTAGAAGGCGGCCCACGGGCGCTACCACGGCACGGGAGCGGCGGGGCCGCGGGCGGGGCGCCCCGCAGTCCGACCCCGACGCGGACAGGGACATCGGCCGCCGTTACGGGTGCGCCTGACCGGGCAGTCTCTCCCACACCG